AAATTGGGATAATGTAAGTTTTTCTATGTAACTTCATTTGAAATTGATTTTTATTTGGATCAAGAATACCTTAAACCTTCTTAATTTATGTCATACCTAAATATAATATTGGTTTAGGTTCTCTATTATTAATACGAGTAAAATTTCCAGTAGCTGTAACAGTTTTACTATCCTTATCCTTTATACTGATTGGTACATCTGTAAACTATTCCAATGATTCAGTAATATGTTTGGAGTTACTTTTTATTGCAAAGTCAGATGGCTTATCAGTTTTCCACTCAAAGTCATTAATTATTGCATCATTTACTCTTCTGAACTTACTTGCATTATCTAAAAAAAAATTAGAGATTGTTAAATCATCTATTTTAGCATTCAGATATTGTAATGATGAAAACCACTCATCTGATTTTGATTCTTTCTCTTGAACTATATGAGACTGATACATTTTTTGCATTGCCAGTAAAAATTTTAGAAATAATTCATTATATGTTTTCAGCTGGCTGGATTCTAGAAGTGAGATTATATTAGTATCACTAGTTAACTTATTATTTACCTGTTTTTTTTTTACTGGTAGATCATACCACTTTTTCATTTCTTCTTCATAACCATCCCCATCATATTCATCATTATCAGAATTCAGAGGCATGTATTGGGACTGTGTAGGTAAAAGTTGAGGATAATAACGCTGGGTAAAATTTGATTTAGCTACAGAATTTAATTTAGGATAGTTATTTTTCTTATGCCCTTCCTATCCACAATTACTATAATAAAAAGGCTTTTGAGATTGATCATTAAGTGACATTCTTTCTAATTGATTATTTAATTGACCTACAGAATTTGCAACACTACTTACAGTAGTGATGTGCACTTAGAAGATTGGAAACACTCTTGGAAGCACTTTTGGAAGGGTTGGAAGCATAATTCTCTAATGAATTCATTTGGATTGGAAGCTTCCAATCATATTTTATACTATTGGAAGCATAAATGCACATCATTGACCTAAAGTATTCACAACTTTACTTATTATACTTTCCAATCTATTTATTCTTGCTGAACATAATTTTTCTGGTTTATGCAATACAGGAGGTTTATCAAAAGGATTATTACTATCATATGAATCGAGTAATTGCTTCATATTTTTAGGAGGAATTGGTGAAGGGGTTTTCTTACTTTGCTGAGCCATCTGTACTTGAAATTCAGCTTTCTGATTTTCTAATAAAGTTTGATATTCAGTTTTTTGTTGAGCTAATGCGTTTTGATTTGCTTTTTGCATATCTTCTAAAGAAATTCCTTGCTGTTAAGAAGCTGAAATAGACGAGGATTCATATATTTGCTAAGATATTTAATTAAATACTAGCAGATCTGATATTTTATCTCTTTTATATCTAGTTATTTAGCGTAACTCTATCTCATAAAGCTTTTTAGCTAATTTATCTAATGGCAAATGTTCATCAATATCCTTAGCTTTTTCAAACTATGATAGTGGTAAGGTATCTAAGAACTTTTTACGTAATTCTTTAGGCCTATAGTTAGCTCGTCTACCTGTTTGTACTATTTTTTTATATAATTTATCTATAGTCATGTTTCCCTTTATAATTATTCTATACATCATATCACGAAGCTCCTCTTCTACTGTAGGAAAATTCGTTTTTAGCTACTATATGGCTTGATCAAAATAAATACTAGCTATAACCACCATAGTACCATTGTTAGCATTTAATACATTAACAATAATATTAGTAAGATGATCATTAGCTATACATCAATCTTTATCCTAAGAACCTTCTACAGCTCTCAACTTGACTATTGCAATTTCTGGTTGGCCAAAAGCTTTATTCAATACTTGATTTCCTATTTGACCTGCATTTCACCCATTTATAGCTACTAAGTTAGCTTGTTTTGTATTATTAAATAAGTTCATTAATTCCTAATTCTGCTTTGTAATAATTTCTTTATCAAATCATTTTAAGGCTCTTTCTCTCATACATCCTCTCAAATACCCTATTGCCTGATTTTTTCCTATTACTAAAGCTCCTGCATTATCTGCTGAGTCTACACCTTAGTTTTGCAAGTATAATCTAAGTTTTGCAAGAAATCAGGGATATTATCACTCTAGTCAAAAATAGTTGTAGTATTTCTGCTATGTTTATTTGATTTAATGGATTATTCTGTAGCGCCAAAATTTGTTCCTGCAAATTTAAAATATTCTGCTAAGCATCATGAGTCTTATTCTTCTATTTCTTATATCGCTCATAGAGCCTATCTCAATTATACTCTAATAAACCTATATCCCCCCTACTTCGTTGTAAGTGGTGAGTATTTTACTGATATAATAGTTATAAGGTAAACTTTTCTTGTACCAGTCTACCTATACGGGTTTGCTTTCTTGTTATATTACCTATCATTCTATTTACCTAGTTTTGAGCATTAGTTTGATATTGCTGAAGATCGCCAATAACTCTTGCTTCTACTCCTTCAGCAAGTTGTCTTCATATAATTTCATTATCATGTTCAGCTTCTGCATTATAGTGTCTCTGTTACTCTTGAAATATATCCCATTGCAAATTATTTTCTTTTCAGTGAATTTGCCTTGTTACTCTTTTTATTTGATCTGCTAAGATTTCTCTATCCATTATTAAATTATCCATATAACTATCTATAGCATTTGCTAGTTCTATGATTGTGGCTATATTATTATTAGAATTATACAAGTCTGGAGAATTATCCTGTTCTAGAGAATTTTTTCGTGATGAGATAGTCTTGATCTGACATTGCAATTTTTTTACTTTCTCCTCAGATTTTACTAACTGCTTTTCTAAGCTAGAGATATACCTATCTTTATCTCACACATCCTTTCTAGCTTGATATAACTGATTTTTTAGGCTAGAGAATTCAGATCTCAGCTCTATTATCTCTTCCTTCAAAGTATTCTCAAGCTGTTCTATTTTCTTATTAAGATCCTAGATTTCTTGCTCATATTGGGCATATTCTCATTCTAGTTAATTAATTTGTCTTTTATTCTGGTAATTAATTTCTACCTCTGATTATAATACATCTCGAAGATATAAGTTATCATCCACCAGCTCAGCTTTATATTCTTCACATGTTCTTTTCTGCCTTGGGTGAGGTCTGCAAAATGATATTCTTTTTTTTCATGATTATAAAATAGAATGAGAGAACTGGTTATTTATATTGATCCTCAAAAAGCTCGAGACTTAGATCGGGATCTTACTTTACAAAAATTTTATTATAGACCTGAAGGATATTATCAGACTGCTAAAAAAATGCAAATAGCTTGTAAGAATATCAGATATGGATTTGCTTTAGCTTTTATAAAAAATTAGCTTAACAAACAGGCCTTATATCAGATTTACAAGCCTTAACTTAAATATATTCCTCAAGCATCTTTTAGTAATATTACTATACCTATAGAAGTTATTCAAGCTGATTTATGCTATATGTCTTATGATCAAATTGGAAATAAAACCTATAAATTCACATTTAATTATGTAGATATTGCTACTTGTACTAAATAGACCTATCCTTTAACTAAACATGACTCTGCTAGTGTGGCTAAAGGATTTGAAAAACTTTTTAAATTTCGAATATACCCAATTGACTGGTCTAAAGTTAAAGTTTTAATGGTAAATATAGGCGTTGAATTCTAAGGTAATGTTATAATATTAATGAATAAATATGATATCCAAATTCAAATAGTTAATTCTAAAGAATCTATGGGTATTACTAAGAGATTTAATCGTACACTACAAGAGTGGACATTTTTTATTCAAGATAGCATTGAAATAAGATTACCTCCTACTGAATGCTGTCGAGCTTGGGTAAAAGATCTTCCAATTTTTCTCATAGAACTTGATAATTTTATAACTCGACTTCTAAGTATTTCTCCTGTTAAAGTTTGAAAAACAGAGCATGTATTTGCTAAAGCCTTCAAGCCACTAAAAGGACCTATTGGGTTTGATGAGCCTAGATTATCCTATGATGTCTTAGTTAGATATTTACTTAATCTTGATGAATTAGAAGGTGAGAGAAGATGCGTAACTGATTGCAATTGGTCTTCTCAGATTTATCATATTTGTGAATCTTTAGTATAAAAAACAGTTGATCTTGTACTGGCTAATAGATAATAGAGGCAATAGTCTGAAAAGATTTTTTGTAAGAGAGAAGCTTTAAATCATACCTCCTGACACAGAATTACCATCATTATGGGTGCTCACAAATTAAATTTCTAATTCATGAAGTTTAAGCATTTCATTTATTTTTTCTATAGATCTTTTTTGCACAACTTTTTCTTAGTTTGCAAATAAAAGATATAATTTGTATAACTTTTTAAGACTCTGATATACTTCTTCATTATACCAGTCTTTGAAATCTGCCATTCTTTCATTATAAATTTCCTCATTTAGAATTTATTGCTTTGCTATATATCTGCAATGATCATCTGAATCCCTTTTACGTTGCATTATTTTCAAATAGCCCACATATGTCAATCCTATTTTATCATATTTTTTTATATCTTAGTTATATATTACTTTAATTACCTCAACTAATGCTAATTCAATATCTTTATAATTAACCATTTTGTATAAGTATTGAATGTTTATATTAATATAGCAAAAACTTTCGTTTAAAATAAAATATTTATTTTTTATTACTATAATAGGTGAATATTATTGCAATTATTTACTCATGACTGGATATATCTGTAGGCGAATTTGTCGTTAACCTAAAGGGTGTTTTGAATATTAAAAAGTTAAACCTTGCTTTCCCTGTAAGGTTTGTGACAAGCTGACTAGCTCTGAACCTAGCCTTTGTAGAAAGCATTCTGATACATATTATGTAACCCAATATTTTAATAGGCTTCAGGCTAAAGCTAATGCTGATAATTTAATCTGAATGAAAATTGATTAATTGCTTTTAGAGCTATTAGTAGATAAAATTAAAGAAGCAGGAGAGCAGGGTTCACAGCAGATCAAAGCACTATGGGTGATCAGCACTATTACTCTAATTATAGATGAAGAATCAGAAGTTACTGAAGTTGAAGCTCTAATTTTTGAGTCTGGTGATGAGATTACAACCCTTCAATCTAGAATCATTACTTCTAGTAATATTTCTAAAGCTCAGATCTATGATTCAGATGGTAAGAATATGGGTTTTAACCTTTTTGGAGATTAGTAGAATTAGATTATCTTGGTTGATAAAATTTATTTATATCTTGCTAACTGATTTTTTTTTACATCATGCTAACCGTTTTTTACATTATATTATTCTAATTTTTTTTATACCATGATAGTCTTTTTTTCACTTAAGGTTATACTTCTAAATGTAAATTTTTATTATATTAGAATTATAATCAGAAAGGTGCGTAAAGGCAAGAAAACAAATTAGTAATTTTGATAAGTAAAAGGAGTTAGAGAACATTATTTGTCAACCATCATTCTTGAAGTTCTCAAGCGAAAATAACTTGATTTATAAATACTCCCCATTATATGTAAATTTTATTATATTAGAATTATAATCGGGAAGGCATATGAAGACATAAAAACAAATTAGTATTTTTATTAAGTAAGAGAAGCTAGGATACATTCTAAGAATATAAATTTTATTGATATACTAAAACTATATTTTGAGAGCCCTAGAACAGTGAAATTAATAAGTATTTATTTTAGTAGTAGAGAAGGTTAGGATTACAAATTTTAATAACTATTATTCTTAAGCTTCTAGATAAAAATAAAGAAGTCTGCTCAGGTATAAATTTTTTACTTTGCTAGATGATAATGAATCCCTTTTGAAATTAATTCTAAAATAGCATAAATAATAGTATATATAGAAGGTTTACAGAGACTTCACAAACTTAGCTTTGAACCTTCAGTTCTTGCCAATCTTGTTTCATCTCAAACTCAAACAGAATGGTATATTTTTTTTGATATATTATTTGAGATTAAAATTGGGCTAGAAAGGCTATAAGAGATTGTTTTATTCTTGATATCCTGCAGGGTAATTTAATGCCAAATTTGATACTAAATATTTGGATAGTAGGAAAAGCTTAAATTTGGGCTAGAGCTTTAAATTCTATAGTAGATTCTTATAGCTAGAAGGCTTTGAAAATAAGATTGAGACTCATTTTGATAATTATTATTTTTAAACTCTTAAGTGAAAATAAAGAAGTCTGCTCACTCTCCTTGCTGCTTAAAGGTTAATATATTTATTTTTAAATATATGCGAAAATTAATATATCACATAAGATCTGACTAATGATTCATTTATTTTTTGTCGTATAATCTATAGCCTAGCAAAAAATCTTCTGAGCTAATAATCACTGCTCCAGACTGTTGATATAGCCAACCCTAGATCAGAATATTACTGCAAATTATTTTCAGACTTAAGCTTTCACATAGTTAAACCTAAAAGATTCTGAAGAGTCTGAACTAAAATATGTTTACTAGCAACATTATTCTGTATAAGATGATTTTTAATCACTCTAATAAGATTAGAAGATATTAAAGTTTTCACAAAATTCTCTATGTAGATATTTGAATTTAGCTTATCTACAGCTTTTTTGCTAATTTTACAATACCCCTTAAATTAAGATATTTTAAATTAAAATATAATCTAGAAATTTTTTCAATAGTTATATCAGTAATTTGACAAAAGCCAAGGTTAAGTTGCTGAAGCCTTGGGCAAGAATGAATAACATTACAAATTGATATTTCAGAAAATTCTATACAGTTAGAAATGTTTAAATATTTTAATTTATAACATAAATTCGTAATTGCATACTAATCTATATTATTTTTTACCTTGCGTAAATTAGATATATTGAGATATTCCAAATTTGGGTATAATTTCACTATTAATTTTAGAACTTTATCTGTATAGTCTGTACTTTTTCAAAGTCTAAATGAATTATATTTAGAAATGTATATAATACCTTTGATTTTTTTATTTAAAATTAAATTGTAATATATTATTTTAAGATGAGTTAGTTTTAAGCTACTGTATAAACTGATTTTCTTTCTCTTCTAAATACTATTTTTAAAAATCTTTTTAATTGAATTTTATCATTTATTTCATTTCCCTTTAGCTCAATGCATTTTTATAGAATAGTAGTACTGCATTTGTATAATAATCAAGAAACAAATAAAATGAGATAAAGTAACTTATCTACTGATAGGAAATATAAAATTTGTTCTAATACTTCTGCTATATTAAAAATATTTATATGCGTTATAAATAATTTGTATTATACATTGTATCTTTAAACAAAAAAATAAAATTATGTGATCAGTGCTTTGGACTAAGCTCTTTTGTTATTTCATCTAATCCAAGCTCTTATAAACTATTCATAAGAACTTTTATCCTATTTTCATTTGATATTCCTTTTAATAATATGCATTTAAGGAATTCTTCACTATAGCTGAAACTCTTATTACACTCTTTTAATCTCAAATAAGATCCTTTACCATATTTTTACCTTAAATCAATAATCAAGTTTAAAAATCAAAAAGAGTCTTTCTTTTGAACTATTCAAGATTTATTTCCTTTACCTATATATTATTTATACTATGAAAATTTTTTAGACCCTGGTTTGAAAGATCCTTTATAATAAATGGTATTAATTCTAGTGGAAGACGTTCTAGCAAATTAACTATATGTATTTTTTATATGGTTAGAATATCTTTCAATCAAAAAATCTTCGAAAAAATGATCACTATTCTGGACTGGTTAACTTAAAACAATATTCTTTTTATGCAAACTCTAACACAGGTCAAATGATGATCATTCAGAATACATGATAATTTATTACTTTTTGGTTATCTGACAATAATTGGTTACAATTACCATGTATTATAAATCGATAACCAATCAGTTTTTTTACTAAATGATATAAAATTATTTCTGAATAATATCAAATGCTTCGATTGAGTAACCCAATTTATTATTTTTAGATATTTCTTTATTATTATGACAAATGTTATTCATTACATATGAAAATATCTATTAATTGGAATAACTGCCATGTAATTGATAGGGTTTCTTACTCCTATGATAAAATTACTGGGGATAAATCTGCAATAAATATTATAAACTGGTATTATACAATCTCTACTATTTTTAGTAATCCTGTAAAAAGTTTTTTCTCACAGTTCAACATTACAGTTGCAATTATCGTTAGTTTCAATTCAGAAATGAAATCTTATTTATTGTCTCTGAACTGGTAAATACCATTTAACAAAAACTAAATGATAGGTTTTTGCACCATCTAGAAGATTAATTTTATGTTCGAAATAATATTGGGCCTGTCCTGCAAATGTATTTATAACATTATTATTTTGAACAAATTTTGCCAAAATATGTGAAATCTTTACATATCTGGGTGTTAAAGTTAACCTGAAAATTTTAGCACTAATACGGATACAGCCAAATTAATTTACATTAGGCAAAATAATAATTAGTCAAATTGATTCTCTATTTATTTCATGTCTAGTCAAATTAGCAACTAATACGAAATTCGGTTCATTTGTTTCATATACGTTGGTATAGTAATTTATAAGCATTTCGTAAACTTTTCCTGGTAGAGTTACATTCAATTTAGTAAGAGTGAGCATGACTTCAAGAAACAGCTCTCTGCCTGTTATTGTATCATCAATGTTGAGATGATAAATATTCAAAAATCAAAGTAACTCATTGAATTCAAATTCATCGTAAGTCATTAAACTCTCTATAGTTAGTTGTGATTTGATCAAATTTAAACATTTTGCCAGTTTTGAATCATCTATCCAATTTGAAATCAAATTATCCAATTGCCAATTCTGCATTATTATATGTAATAATTCTAGCTTAATATTACGACCACTATTAGATAAAGACCCTAAAGCAAACGTTAACAATTTATTAATATCATAACTTTGTTTGAAAAAAAATCAGCGTGTAGCTACTTACCTAATATTCCGTTCATTCTCTTGAATAAATAACACCAGAATGAGTAAAGTAGATCATAATCCTGGCAGCATTCTGTAATATAAAGGGAGAGATGAATGTTCAGTGTTATCACAGCTGGACCATAATTCTCTCTACCAAATGAGCGACCATCAGCAACTGGGAGTAGATTTCGTCTAATGTATTATTGTCAATAATGCATGTTGTTAATAAAAAACAGGCTTGAACAAAATTTGCCAAAATTCTCCAATCATGTTTGTTCAAAAGATTCCACATAATCAGTGTCACATAAATCATTATGAATGTTTTTCACTAGTCAGCTGTATATCCTGAAAATCCCTCACCAGTTGCTATTTTATAAGGTATTCTTCCCATGTCTATAGGTAATTTGAACTGTTTTACCTTCTTTTCCATTTCTTCAAGCTGAGATTTTGTAATTTTACCACCATCAATCCACTGCCTTTTTATTATCCATTAAGCTATATTAAGAAACAAACAGTGCATTGGGTCAACTATTAAATGCCTGATAGGATTATGGTAAAGCAAACGTAATATTTCAGACTATCTAACTAAGGTAGATGAAATGTGTTGCCTTCTTTCTTCTTCTGTTTTACAATGTAACCAAGACATTGCATTTTTTAGGTGTTCTTTTAAATTTCTGTTTAAACCAATCGTCCATATCATCAAAGCTACCAAAATTAGGTCTTTTCCTTTCATCATTACTAGCTATCTTATAACATCTGTGACAAGCTGCAACTGCTGATATGTGCCCACATAGTTTTCTGGCAGCTAGAATATCATTTAAGCAGCAAATAACTGCTAACTGAATTCTCTTTCTATTAGGAAACTTGATCGAAACTAGCAAGTGTACCTATCCTATAATTCTAGTAATTCATCTATAATTAGAGCTAGAAAATGATTAATGTGATGCTTTTTCAGTTCTTTGGATCCTGGTAAAAGGTCAAAAGTTAACATATTTTCCTTTTTAAATCTTATATCACGTGAAAGATTGCAAATTACTCTATAAATTACACCAGTGCTATATATAGAAGATTTGAAAGATTAAAATTAATTGAGGTTAATTATGATTCCCAAATGAGAATCTGCGGTCTCTGATGTAAAAAACTGAAAAGTTTGATCTTTGAGAGAAAAAGGAAATGTTCTCCAGATTCTTCCCTCATATATATAAGATATTAATTCGTTTGCTATATTCTGATTTGTTCATTTTAGAAGTTGCTGCTTAAATCTCAGATATAAA